TGCTTGGCTGCCTGTGCCAGATCCAGAACCGCAAGGATCCTCAGAGGCTCTGGGGTGGATCCAAATGGCTGCAAGGGCACATGGCAGCCCAAACGTCCAGAGATGGTGCTGGGGAGTCCTGCAGCCTGGCTGCAGGGAGAGGGGGACCAGCTGTGTTGGAGAAAATCAGGTAATTGCCAGCGTCAGGCCACTTATACTAAAAATTTTCAAGCCGTGAGGTTCCTCCATCCCTGTTATGACTGATAGATTTTTCCCAGCTCAAGTTATTCCCTGGGATCTCTTTATCTTTATCTAGACAGAGTTTGCAACAAATTAATTCATTGCTGAAGAGGAGGATGAGAAATGTTGGATGCTTCAGCTCAGTGGAAGATGCTGAGATGCAAAGGCCGAGGGATAGCACAAGATGAGTCCGTGTCGCATCAGTTGTGGTGGGCTGAACCATGGAGATGCTGGCACATGCAGACCTCAGGTATTTGCAACAACCCCAAGTGCTGAAGGTATCTGTGCTGGGCTGCCATTACAGTCACTGGGAGCAGTCAGCAGACAAAAATGAGCCGCACAAGAAGATCCTGATGGCTTCTCCCATCTTGCATCCCCACCTTGCAGAGAACAGTTTGCGACGCTCAGCTCTTGGCACATACGTGATTTCTTTGCTCCCCTGGAAGGTGCAAGCAAGTTTGGAGACTGCAAGGCAGTCACAGGATAGTATTTCCAACTGTTTGCCCTTGAATAATAAGGCAATTTTCTGCCATCTAGCTAGACATCTGTGCAATGCAATGCAAGGAAATTCATGGTGCACCATGTCTAGCTTAGAATTTTTTCCTTTTCTGGTAGGCAGCTGCAAACGAGTTCTTCAAAATCATCATCTTTGTGTGCTGCAGCAGTCAAAAAAAAACCCAACAAAACGTCGCATACCCTAAAGAATAGCATTGAGGACAAGACAGGGGGTATAATTTTGCTGCAATATACAATCCTTGTTCTTCTACGCCTTTTGTAGTGTGTGTAGCGCTTGTCACCACATCTCAGGAAGGGTGTACTGCAAGTAGAGCAGGTCGAGAGAGCGCACAAAGGGCTGGGAGCTTCTGGAAGCTGCTGCCCCAGGGAGGATTGCAGAGGCTGATGGTGTCAGCTAGTTCGAAGAGAAATTAGGCAAAAGCATGAATAATGTGTCTAAAAGCAGGTGCTAAAGGGAACATGCTTAACACAAGAAGTCTAGGTGCCGAGAGGCTGGAGGCCATCAGAAGTGACCTGGTTTGCATGTTGACTGTGTCTCCTGTGCCACTTATGGTATGGATTGGATTGAACACTTCTCAGATTCAGTGGGAAATATGTATGACTTAGCTTTAGCTCTTAGTTAGCAATTAAAGTAAGAGTTAAAGGCAAGTTATACAATGATCTCTTGGTCAAATACTGGGTCAAAATAGGCATCCTCCAAACCCAGACTTGCTTCCCCGTCTCTGCTTCACAGAACCCTTAAAAATGGGACCGTGAGGGATGTCTGCAAGGCTTGCAGTCCAAGTTTTTCCAAGCCATGATTCCTGCAAAGCTCTTGCACTCTCCCACCACTAAGAGCATGAACCCCCCCCCCCCCTTTTCATTTGCACTCAAAAAATGCAGTGAGGGTTGGGTTTCAAAATGCAGCTGGTGGGATAGCAATGCTCAAAGTAGAGCATGGGTTTTGTTTGTTTTGTTTTTTTTCCCCTCTATGTGCTATCTTTACTAGCTAAAAATTATTTGTTTACCCTGGACATCAGTGATTTCCACTTTTCCATCATGCATTTCACACCTTGCAGGACTTCACAGCCCAGCCCATCACAGGCAAGCCTACAGGCATACAACCTCACTCTGTTTTTCTGGCTTCACAGTTATTGCATCTTGCTTACGTAGCTTCACAAGGAAATGTTGGACCATCCAGGCTCATGTTTCCAGGTTGAAGGGTAGTAGTAGCTGTGCAAGCAAATCACAGGGGCAAGATGTCATGCCTCCGTGCTGTGTCGTGCCAAGGGCTGCACCTTAATTACTGGGAGGGTGGGTAACAAACCTTCCTGCAGCCCCTAAGATGATGTTCAGACCACAGGGAGCTGAGGGTGGGCAGGGAAGCCGGTGGGGCTCCTCTTCTTGGCATGAGCCTCCCATGGTGACTTGAAGTGAATTGAAAAAGATGGGGGAGCTGTCTTTAGGAAAGGCTTAAACTTTGCAGCCACTGAAGGCTGAAAATTAATGGTCTTCTTGCACCACAAAGCAGTAAGGATTTTATATAGGGACCAGGCTGTATCCAGCTAAACAATGTGGACTGCCTGGGGCCAAAAACTGCCCTCTCCAAGTGTCCAGCTCAGCCCTGGGGTGCAAGCTCCTGTCACAGTGGGGAAAATGCCAGTGCTGTGTGCTCAGGCAACCCTTCCCCAGGTCATGTTCACTGCTGGGCGCAGCATGCAGCATCCTTTCAGGACTGCTTTTTTGCTGAGACTCTTTGTACTTGGTTCTGCTTGCCTTGCACAGCCATGGGAGCCCATGGCCCTGGGGAACTTGCAACTCAGCACCGACTGAATGGGATGTAGCCGTTTCCCATCTCATGGTCATAAAGAGGGGTGAGGTGCCCCATGGCATCGTCTCAGAAATGTCGATGCCTGCTGTCCATTGTGCCTGGTGTGGCGGGGACTGCAGGCTGGATTTGAGGGAGACGGGCCGGGGAGGGGGTTTGAGGAGACGAGCTGAGAAGGGAAAGGGGCTGCAGGGTCCTTGGCTGCAGTGTCAAGAGGTGCTGAGCTCCCCTCTTCGCTCCCTCTACCAGGCATGACCATGCCCAGCTCCATCATCTCTGATGGTGGCACAGCCAGGACCCCACCCGATCCAGTGTCCTGGTCCCAGGGCTCGGCGATGCTCTACTTTCCTTGCACCAGCCCCAGGGACCAGGCAGGATCCTTGCCCCGTAGCCATGCCTCCAACCCCAGCCTTGGGATGCAAAAACCCACAGTTCATCCCGGGGGCCCCATCATACCCCATCCTGCTGCTTGCAGGTGACAAGACTATTCACTGAAAACCCCAATTATAGTACAAGCGTGGGGATGCTTAGCACAAACCATTGCCTGCCTCCGAGATCGGCCTGTGAATTCCCTTAAACTAAGGGATGCGACAAGAGGTGCCCGAAACCTGAGCATGTTTACAGCTTAATCTCAGCAGCTTCCACATGGTTTCTGGACCACCCTCCTCTTATTCTTTATATTACGTGATACTCCCAGAATACAGACTGTGCATTTTATACCCACGATGGCTTCAGCACCCTGACTTTGGGACAGACTCCGGCCAGAGCATGCTATTCAATGTACATGACCCCTCAAAACTCCTGATTTTGGCACGGGAAAGGAGGCTCCTTGCCCTCTGCAAGCACCCTGGGGGTATCTCTGTATAATGAGGGTTCACCTTTGGATACCTGCAAGATGAGGCTCAGCTTTTCCCAAGGGTGCAAACCTCTGTAAGTCATCATTGGAAACCTTCCTGCTGCCAGATTCACAGCCTGGAGCTGACTGGGGACTGGGGAGGTGGGGATGAAATGGGGCAGACGCAGCTGGGAAGGGGGGTATCCTCCTAGCAGACATGGCTTGGGTGCTGGGGGGACACTTAAACCACTTAAAACTAGAGGGCAAAATCCTGGGGACAGCAGGGAGGAGGGGTCAGTGCCGGAGGAGGGATGAGTGCTGGGCAAACACGGGGCACGTTGCTGCAGAGGAGGGGACAAACCTGCTCTCACCACCCACGGCACCCAGCTCAGCTTGCAACTCGCACTGGGACGGTCACCTGTCCTAAGGCACATGCAACGGGCATGGGATTTTCAGGACATCGCCTTTTGTCCCGGCACAGCAGCCTGGCTGGCTTCACTGGAGCAGGGCTCCTCATCTACCTGGCATGCCTCTGTGGTGAGTGGCTCTTGCACGGGGGAAGGAGCATCCTCGGAGAAAGAGGGGGTCAGTGATCTGCAGGAATGGGGGGGACTGGGCTTGCAGATGGATGGGGTAAAGCTTCCTTTGACCCATCGGCCTTTGAAAAGGAAAAGAAAGCAGTGGATGGGGAAGGAGACCTCATTAGCTGAATAATTATCCTGGCCTCTGCACTGCTGCCCTTGCACAGAGTGGTTGGGAAATGCTTGGAGCCTTACCAGCTGGTGACAGTCAAGACCAGAAATTGCTTATTTGTGTTGGCCACTTCTTCAGGGCCAGCCAGTTCGTTTACAAAGGGCACAAAGTCCTCTCCCCCCCAGTGCAAACAGGAACATTCATTCTGCTCCGCAGCCTGCGGACGTGAAGGCTTTCCAGGAGGTGACCAATTGTGCTGCAAGTGGGATGCTAAGGTGCTTTTCTTACTTTTTTTTCTGCCTCTGCCTGCCTTGTTTTGCATCCCCTTCTGCAGGGGATGCTGCAGCCTCTACCCAGACCCCAACCCAGGCATCCCACAGCAGCTCAACCATTCCAGCGCTTACTGCCACGGCGATTAAACCCCTCATATTTACCTTTCTTGCTGTAGTTTCAGCCCATGTAATGCCATCCTCTAAGACGCAGCTCCACTTGGTTAGAGGCGATGGGCTAATTTGCTGTGCAGGCTCCCTGTCACATCATGCAAACCGCTAATTAAAGCACCAGGTTGCACTCAGACAGACCCCCTCTTTCCATCAGACACCTAGCAACTACTCCCTACATACAGTTTCCCAGAGTTTTCAGCCCAGCTGGCAGTGTTTTCCTTTTCATTGGTGGGGAACATGAAGCAAAAAAGTATCTGAAACTCCTTTAAAGATAATTGTCTTTCAAAAAGGAGGTTTACAGAGCATTTATCTCCTGGACTTCTAATTTGGTTTTTTTTTTTTTTTTGGTTTGTCTTTGAGCCAAAGGAGAAGCACACCCATGGTTCGCATAAGCTGTTTGCAGGGGCTCTGTGAAGCTCATGCAAGCGACACAGCCTTTCCCGGTGCTGCCCTTCCACACCAGACCCTCTCCGTATCCCTCTTGCAGACCCAGTTGCTCCCCAGCGAGTGCCCCTCCGCCTGTCAGATGGCCCACACCGCTGCGCCGGCAGGGTCGAGGTCTTCTATGAGAACCGATGGGGAACGGTATGCGATGACCACTGGGACCTGGAGGATGCTGGCGTGGTGTGCCGGCAGCTGGGCTGTGGCGTGGCACTGTCAGCCCCCACGGCCGGGCATTTCAGGGGAGGGACCGGTCCCATCTGGCTGGACGATGTCAACTGCACGGGGATGGAGGTCGCCCTGTCTTACTGCAGGACAAAGGGCTGGGGAAGGAACAACTGCCACCACGGCGAAGATGCTGGCGTGGTGTGCTCAGGTAA